ATATGATACTTTAAAAAAAAAATTTGATTTTTTTAACAATTTGTCACGAATTTTGAGAAGTGGCTTCCATGAGAAGTTATATTAAAATAAATTCGGACGACAAAAAAAAGAAAAGAAAATATAATACTTTAAAAAAATAACGTGAAAACAAAAAATATGATACTTTAAAAAAAAAACAAAAAAATCACGTCTCCGTGACACGAAGGCAAGTGTCTCCGTGTCACGGAAACATTCTCGACATTACATATATCATTCTCGACATTTGAACACTGTTTCATTAAAAAAAAATGAAAAAATCACGTTTCTGTGTCACGAAGACATTCTCGACATTACATATGTCAGTCTCGACATTTGAATACTGTTCATTAAAAAAAAAATGAAAAAATCACGTCTCCGTGACACGGAGGCAAGTGCCTCTGTGTCACGGAGACATTCTCGACATTTGAACATTTCATTTGTCTAGAATGACATTTTATTTTGAACATGACATTTCTCTACATTTAAAAATGTCGTTTTCGACATTTCTGAGTCAACGAAAAATATAGCATTTATTGTGATTTGACATCTATACTTTTGAAATAAATATGGCAGGTTATATGTCAAAATTTTATTCGTCAATAACAATTTTGCAAAAATGTCCATTTTTTTGTCTTAGTGTAGAATTAAAAATTGTTAATAAGGGTATTTTGGTATAAAATTTTCCAAATTGGACATTTTTGCAAATGACTAGGTAAAAATGGACATTTGATGAAATTTCCTCAATATTTAATGTGGTATTATAAAAGAAAAAAATAGAGTGTACGTATTTGATTTTCACTTAATAGTTATTTGTAAATCTTCTACATGTCAAATATTTGAGGACACAATGAATCTTGTCAATGCATGATCTACTATTTTGAAAATATAGTATAATTATACCATTTATTTTCTTTCTAAAAATTTGAATCTTTTACGCAACACGAGTTATGGACTTTTGCAACGTCTAAATATTGTCAAGAAAGTCATCCATATAATTCGTAGCAAGCAACGATCATTATAAAGGACGTTATGATTGTAATGGAACCTTATAATTTAAAATATTAAAAATCCTTCTATGATGAGTAGTAGGGGTGGATAAAATGTTCAAATCAGACCAAACCAAACCAAGTGGTTCAGTTTGGTTCTATCAAAAAAATTAATGATTTTGATTCTTTGAATCAAGAACCATTTGATTTTGGTTTTAATTTAGTTCTAGTTCAAAAACCAGAATCAGAACCAAACTTAATATTTAATTTTATACATAATAATTAGTAGAGACCTTAATTTTATATTCATTGGAGATAGCCCATTAATTTAATATAGTTTATTAATCAATTTTGGGTTATTAGAGATAAACAACCCATTAGTTGTCTACACTCTAATTTTGTATTTAGTTGAATTATTTCTGCTTCGCTCCTCTTCAATTTACACAACGTCGTAGCATACTGGCACTGGATTTCATCAAGTCAATGGAGTGTTATTTAAGATCAAAAAATAAAATTGATCAGTTACTTAAAAAGTGTTTAAACTCTTTTTTTACCTTGATTGTTTGATGTGTTATTTGTGTTCGTCACAAATAGAGAAACACCCAATAAACATTCATGAAATATGAAACGGTTAATGTTGCATGTAGAAATGAACGGTAAAAATTTTGATAATTCATTCTTTATTGTGGGGACGTGCCTTCAAAACTACTACAATTAATTTAGTGAGTCATTGCTATTACTTATTAAATAATTTTTTGTATGAAAACGAAAATTGATTTGTGTATTCAAATTATAAATATATTTTGTTTGTTAGTTATGACTTTTTTCATCTCGATGATTGAAATTTGAACTTCCTAAATGTTTGATGTTTATTTTCTTATTTAGATATAGATTACTAATTTATATGATGCAAATCTAAAAATTTAAGAAATGAAATTAGAACCAAACCAAATCAGAACCAAACGGTTTCGTTTCATATCTTTAAAAAAATCATTTGGTTTCATTATCAAAAAAATCATTGGTTCATGGTTCGATTCAGTTATCTGGGAACCAGAACAATACGGAACCATGTCCAACCCTAATGAGTAGTGACAACTAATGTCTTAGCCATAACAAAATAACTATTATAGAACCAAGATTCATGTAGTTAACCATCACAGAAAGTCACGATTTTATTTTTATTTTTTTATATTTGATTTTAAAACACTAACATTTCATTTTCAGTGTAAAACTGACAACCATTGACGACAACGTGAATTAAAATTAACTGCATGAATAAGTTGAGAAAACTACGCTTGAAAGGCAAACAATAAAGGGAACTAAATTAATTGGTGAAGAAAGAATAAACATGGATTCGTCGTTTTCAACATTAAACTATAAACATGAATCTGGATTCTTGTTTCTGTTAGAGTGTGTGTTTTTTCTGTTTATAAAACTAATAATTATACACTAATTTACACCATTATTAAAGTGTTAATTATTCTTAATGATGTGACAAATGTCTTTTCAATTTTTGGCGGTTAATGAGGTTACTTGAATTTCTAAAACTCTTCATTATTCTAATTACTCTTACGTGACATAATTTTAACTCTTGTTTTGACTTATGCTGTTGGATATATAATCGACAAATTTGTGGTCTTGTTGTTTATTTTAATTAATCATCAAATTATTTACCATAACTTTGGATTTTAATGATGATGTAAATTTTAATTTTCTTACCACAGATATTTCTTCAAAAAACTGAAAATAATTAAAGAAAACTCAAACCTTCGTGAATTGGATCTATGTAAAATTAAAGCAATCAAAGTTTTCTGTACTTAATTTTCGAACAATTTTGTTTCTCTCTTGAGAATTACTCAAACTGAACTAATCAATTCAGTTTCAGTTAAAAAGCTTGCATGGTTTTGATTTTTGAACGAAGAAGAAGAATAAGATGGTTGTAGGATAAAATTTAATGAAATGTATAATTGAAAAGTTGATATAATTTAATGAAACGTATTGTTAAAATTAATTATTTACTTTGATTTAAATTTTTATAAGACTTTTTTTTTTTAATCTATATCAAACATGAGCTAAATATATTTTGATAAGATTTAAAACGTATTCCGGCCTACTCTCTCGTGGAACATACAGATGTAGATACATATTTAAGCATTATCTTTGAAATGGAAAATACACTCCGGCCATTCTTTCTGTGGTTGCAGATATTACATAAAATGGTTCGAGTAGTCTATTTGAGGTGGGGTATGAGGCAATTAAAAGAAGAACAAAAATGTGTAGGGCAAGAAATGTGAGTGTATTCACGTGTAGCGTTTAAGAAATTCCAAAAAAAGATAAATGGACCCGTTTTCATAATGTGTCATCTTCACATATATATCGCTGTCCCATTTACAATTCTCTTCCGTCGCTTACATGCCAGGTTTGATCTTTCTTTCCTCTGGATATCTGGAAATAGCAATGGTTAAGATATTCATTAATGCGTTTCCATGGTTTTTTAATTTGTGTATGAGAGTAACCAGCCACGATGTAAATATTCATATATTTATTGATAGATAAGATTTAAACGATTATATAATTTATAATTATATAAGTTTTTAGATAGAGTACTTAATGTGGTATCAAAACTTTGAAAAATTTTGAAGTTAAGTCTCATACTATATCTATATATCAATATTGGGGGTCGGATATTTGATAAAAGGATGAACAATGTGTATACAAATGAAGAGATGTTCAAAAAACAAGATTTGAATAAATATAAAATATACATGGAGCTTCTCTAACTTGTCTATCTAGACGACTTATATTTGTGGAAAACTAAAAAATTGCATCACTGTAAATAAAACCCTTTTCTCTTTAAGGTTTTTTTCCCTTTTATTTGTTCGTGTTTTCTAAAAAATCGCTATTAATATTTCATTCTTTATTCAATCAAATTTAAACATTAATTTCAATTATACGTCTCATTACTATAATTAATTTATTACTATTGCTCTTAAGAAATTATTCATAATTTTAGCTTTTTGACATTTAACCCTTATTTATACAAGATAGACTAAATTTGGTGGATAGATTGGGAGAATGGGGAATCATGAAGCATTCACATCGATCATCAATACCAATTATCCTTGAAAATGACCCCTACCTTTTGTTTTTTAAAACACGTAAAAGTTTGGCAGCAAGCAGCCACTTAGGGTCCCACGTCATGCAACATCGTTGATCCTTGTCACCCTATTCTCTATCGTTGGATGCCAAACTATACTAATTTCACTTGTGATTCCTTCTTTTTTACTTTTCTTCAAAATTATCATTTGAACCTACACAATTCACGTCATTTGAAAATTTTATAGTATCAAAAAAGGGGCAAAAAAAACCCTACAAACTTTTTTATGGCGTGATGGTACTGCCAAGCATGCACTTGAAAGAAAAATAACCAAGTGTGAGGTTGAACTTGATGAATACATTTAGCCCCTACTTGCATGCTATTGCGGGTTCTTCGAGGGTTTACCCAGTGCGCACTCGAAAGGTAACGATTGCGGGTTCCCGCGTCATAAAAAAAAAAAAAAACATTTAGCCCCTACTGGCGTGGTTTGCAGGCTATTGCGTCAACCCGATAATTTACCCAGTGTTCATTCGAAGGGTAACGACTGTGAGTTCCTCCGTCATAATAAATAAATAAATAAATAAATAAAATAAAATAAAATCATTTAGCCCCTACTTGGTTTGGTTAACAATCATGTTTTTAGTATATTTTGATAAATTAAAAGTTGTGAATTTTTATAATGTATGATTTAATGAATTCATAAAAAAATAAATTTTAAAAAATTGAGGCCAAATATAATTAGCGTATATATAGAATGGACTAAAATGTGCAGAAAATGATTTGTACATGATGTGTTGTGTATGATTAGCCCGTGAGTAAGCCGAAGCTCCAATGCTTTCATTCTTTGCCATTACATGACAAAATCCAACTCCCACAAGCATACAAATTTCCACGCCGGCCACTTCACAAATCACATGCCACCAAAATCCAATCCCTCTATATTACCCATCTCTCTCTCTCTCTTCATCTTTCTCTCTAAATTCTGAAATCCCTTTTTTCTGAGCAGTTGCTTTCTTTTTCTTAAATTTTCTTCTACAGGCGAAAAAAATCTGCAGACATGAAAGAAGAGTCAATTTTGCCTATTTTTGACCTCAACCAGTCCTTTTTCTGTGCATGGGGCAAGAAAGAATATTAATAGCTCATCCTTAAGGAAAAAGATGAACAGTCTATTTCCTTGATTTGTTGACAGGATTTTCCGGCAAAAAGTTATATTACAGAAGCTCAATTATGGATCGTTTCCCAATGATCAGGTACCACTTTTAGTCTCGTCCCTTTCTTACTTTCTCTCTGAATTCTATTTGTTCATCTTGGAACACACCCCACCATACCCACTATCTCATGATGCGATTCACTGAGACCCTACTACCTTCACTCCCCTCTCACCAAATTTCTCCATTTTCAAGCTTGAATATGGACATGAATAATCAAGTTTATAATGCACGGCCATGGCTTGGTTTTCCCACATCCAAATCTTTGGGGAGTTTTGGGGATGCCAATGGCATGGAACAGTTGTTAGTCCACTGCGCCAACGCCATTGAAACCAACGATGCAACTCTTGCACAACAAATTTTGTGGGTTTTAAACAATATTGCCCCACCAGATGGTGACTCGAACCAGCGCCTAACTTGTGGGTTCCTTCGAGCCATCATCGCCCGTGCTGCGAATAGTGGAACCTGTAAATTGCTCACTACCATGGCAAATGTGCACACCAATCTAGCCATGAATAACCACAAATTCTCTATTATTGAACTTGCTAATTTTGTTGATTTAACCCCGTGGCATCGATTCGGATTCACTGCGGCAAATGCGGCCATATTAGAAGCTGTTGAAGGGTATTCAGTAGTTCATATAGTTGACTTAAGTATGACACACTGCATGCAAATTCCAACCCTGATAGACGCCATAGCCACGCGTTCTGAGGTGGCGCCGCTGGTCAAACTCACGGTGGCTGTACCCACAGAAGATTTCCCTCCTATGCTAGATCTTTCCTACGAGGAATTAGGCACAAAATTAGTCAACTTCTCAAGGTCTCGTAATGTAGTTATGGAATTTAGGGCCATTCCTTCTAGTGTTTCAAACGGGTTCTCTTCTTTAATAGAACAACTAAGGATGCAACATTTGATACGCGCAGAAAATGGGGAGGCATTAGTCATAAATTCACATATGATGCTTCATTACATACCAGATGAAACCCTACCAGTGGTTCAAAACACTAGTTCAACTCAAATTTCCATCGAAACTTGTTCGAGTAATTCCTTCCTTCGATCACTGTTCCTCGAGGCATTACGAAGTTTGGATCCGACAATCATGATATTAGTCGATGAAGATGCAGATTTTACATCAAACAATCTAGTGCACAGATTAAGGTCAGCCTACAATTATCTATGGATACCCTTTGACACTGTGGACACATTTCTGCCCCGGGGGAGCAAGCAGAGGCAATGGTATGAAGCTGATATTTGTTGGAAGATCGAAAATGTAATTGCTCACGAAGGACCTCAGAGAGTTGAAAGGCTTGAACCTAAAAGCAAGTGGGTGCAAAGAATGAGAAATGCGGGTTTTCGGGGAATTTCTTTTAGTGAAGAAGCCATTACAGAAGTGAAAAGCATGCTAGATGAACATGCAGCAGGCTGGGGACTAAAGAGGGAAGAAGAAGATGTTGTTCTTACATGGAAAGGGCACAATGTTGTGTTTGCTACTGCTTGGCTACCCATTTGATGATACCTTGGCTTGAAATTAATGTCAAATTATTAGTTTTAGTACATGTAACTATATTTTCTCCCATGATGTCTCTAGATGTACTAATTACTGATCAAATATGTTTTGTATGATCAAGAATTTTTCTTTCTTACCTGATTATTGTGCTCATAATTGTTTTGGATTCCTTGGAAACCAAAAAAAGCAATTGCTGCATCTATTTGCATTAGGGACTTCATTTTAGTTTTCATCGTAAGTCGAATGCCAGCAGCTACTTTGTATTATTTTCAAGTTGAAATTAAGCCATTGTTTGGTCTCAATTAAAATGAGCTATTTGTCAAAATCTGATACTTTACAACCGATTTTAATTGCACATTTGTTAAATCTCATAACTATGTCAACTTTTCAACATACATTTTATCAACTTTTATCAAAATCTGATATTTATTTATTAGTATTAATATTATATTTTTTTTTATCAAAAACTTTGTCAAACAATCTTCGAGTCTTGTTATGAAAAAAATAGCACACACAAATCTGTTAGGAAACATTTTTGTGTTTCTAACACTGAAATGCTGCATTGCCTTGTCATTGACATTGCACCACACGCTTCCATGTTATGCATAAATTATAGTTTGAAATGGTGACATGAGCACCTGTTTAGTTGAGTACAGTCCTCGATGAAAATCGACTTGAGCCAATTATTTTTGCGTGAAAATTACACCAGGTATCAACTTTTGGCTTTTCATTTATAAAAATATCACTTTTTTAAAGTCTTTACAAGATTGTCAATTTTTGACATTTTTGTCCCTCTAGATAATTCAAATACCCTTTATATCCTTCATTAAATATGGATTTGACTAGATGAAAAAATAGGACAAAAAATTTTAAAACATGACATCTCTCATCTCACTACTCAATTATTGACAATTTATCTTCTAATTAATGAAAAAATTGATGGAGATTTTCATTTTCCTCTCCAACCGACTCTAGCTCTCCCCTCTTCTAACTTCTTGTTTCTCTGCTCCATCTGGACTGACGACAACGATGGCAATTCCCTTAGGCAGTTAGGCTGCTTCTCTTCTTCTTCTCTTTCCTTCACTCTTTCACAAATCAAAACTTGCCGGCCCTTTTTTTCAACCATAACCGCACCGCCACTGTGCCACGTCCGACATCTACGTGATAGTGTCTCACTCACACCTTCGGCCAACTACCTACTCCCAATAAAGAAGAAGTGAGGATTGTTTGTCTAACTCTCCAACTTTCTTTAAATCTACAGAATCGAAAGGAAAAGGCAAAAATGATGATGTCCAAATTAGGTTTTTGTTCATGTGTGATATTTTAGCTTTTTACATAATTGATTTTAGGTATGTGGTATGGTTGCATGTGCATGCTTTTGTTTTTCAAATTTTGATTTGTTTCTGGATTTTTAGATGTGCACATTTTGCGATATATGATGGCCATGGAGGTTGGTTAGCTGTAAAGTACGCTGAGAAGCATCTTCACGTTAATGTTCTTTCAAAGGGCTTATCATGTGAGTTGGTCTGTTTATTTGAGAATTTAGTGTTGTAATTATTGCTCGAATTTTTATTTTAGAAAATTGCTATATTTTACATTCCATTTTGTAATTGTCCTTTCGTGGTTTGGCGTTTGATGAAAATTTTTAGTTGGATGTTAAGTGTTCAAAGAAGGTAGTTTGATGTAATTGCCCTAACGTTATAATTCGGGTAGTGTATTTTATGCACTCCGCTCCAACTGTCAAGAATGACAGAGACAATCTGTCATGAACGACATATAAACTGTCGGGCTGTAATACAGTATATTGTAAATGGATTCGTATTTTGCTTGTAAAGTTGAACATGTATTTCTTTGTTTGCGAATGAAGCAAAAATGGTAATGACGATGTAAGTTGAATATAATAATGTAAGTCGATAATTTGATGGAGAACACCGCAGGTTGAGCGGATGTTACGAAATGGTGTTTATCATGCGCTGTCAATTGAGTCTACTATTTACAATGTTGCAAATTAGAATTTATTTGGTAGGGATTGAAAAAAACATTTTTAAGTGGACAAGAAAAAGATACAAGGAAATGTTGAGATTGCAACGATAAGAATTCAGAATCAACATATTGGCATTTAATAGTATAAAAGTGACATTGCATAATACGTAAATCCATACAATAACAAAAGGTCAAATTAAGGATTTTCATAATTTTGAAGTATCCAATTGACAGTAAAACTATATACTCTGACGGTTTGTAAATGTCAAATTCGACAGTTAAAGTGTCGAAAATGTCAGGAAGCAGACGACAGTGGGTGGAACTCAGGCTTCTTCAGCACAACACAGTATATCACATTCAGTGTGGTCATCACTATTGAGCTACCAAATGATAAAATGAAAAGGTCAAGTTGGCCTTATCATTAAAGTGACATTTAATGAATACAGTGTTTTGTTTGATTAGAAGAAATTACTAAACCTTAATGGTGATAATAACATTTTGTGAAGGACTCTAAAACAAAAAAAACAAAAAAACAAAATCAATGCATAATAGATTCAAAAATTTCAAATAAATATGACAATATTGTATTTAATATTTACAGAACAAAAAGCTATAAGAGTAAAGTATAAATAATTTGTAATTACTAACATCTCAAAATGGATGAAGAATGTAATAAAAATGTCTTCTTGATCAATGAAAATGAAAAAGATAGAGAAAAGTTAGGATTTGTAATTTATGTTTCATTTTTAAATTTCTTTTACCATTTTTTATTAACAAAAATTCATATTAATCAATAAAATATACATTTATCCATATTTTGTATATAAAAATTAAATCATTACATCAAATCAAGCATTAAATGCTACTAAAAATATGTCATTAAGGGTAATTTGGACTTTTCACCCTAAAAAGTGACATTTTTGCCCACATAAAGTAAAAATGACAAATTTTTTGGAACTTTCATTCTTTGTAATATTTTTGTAAATTCCCCTATTTTTGCTGTCTTTTGCACGAAGTCAACTTGCTCAACATTGTACACGTAGAAATCGTGCTTTGAGAAACTTGAATAGGTTGATTACAATCCTCAATCAAATCGACTTGAGCCAATTATTTCTTCTGTCCGAAGTCAACTTGCTCAACATTGTACAAGTAGAAATCGAGCTTTGAGAACCTTGGATTAGCGTTTTGACTTTTCTAAAGTCTATGTCAATTTGTTGAGTATGCTAGATTGCACCGGATATTATTTATATACTAGTTGCACGGGCAGGATTATTTTGAAGGTCATATTAGCGTTTTTAATGTTGATATATATATAATTCACATTATTGCTTTTTCGTCTCTCTCTCTCATCACTTAAATACATCTCTTTGGACAATCGAAGGATTTGAAGCCCTAACTCAGAAATTCCTACCTGTAAGAAGAAGAAGAATTTGCAAAAGTCGTAGCGGCATGGTGGTGCTGTACTTCTCAGTGTTTTTTTTTCAAGATCATCACAACCTTATTGTTGCCACCAAGACCATTCAATGTTTGGTAAGCTTTAGGAAATTAGTTGGGGAATTCTAGAATGTTAATTTTGTGGATTTTATCAGCTCCTTTTGCGGGATTTGAATCAATCTTTGGTCTATTGTAGTGTATGAAAGATAGGGTTGCTTATAATTGTTTTCTTTAATTTCAAACGGCAAAACTAATGTGGCAAGATGGAAATATGATAAATATACATAGCTAAAAATATTCATTGGAATCTCAATCTTCTGGCCAAGAATATAGCTCAAATAGATTCCCTGGGATCTCAATCTAGTAGCCAACAATCTTACTATAAAATGAGTTTTGGGTTACAATTTGATTATTCTAGCTCGTAGCCAATTTTAGTTTTTAGGAAATGTAACGACCATATGCAAAATATAACATGTAATGAAGGTGAATAATTAGTCATCGTCATGATTTTTGCTGACTGTGTATTTATAGCTCCATTTTATCGGCTTCTCCTTCTTGGGCAACATATCTTCTGACAAAGGTTTTTACCATTGCTTCATGCACGTGTGCGTTCATATGATAGTGAAAGTTGTTTGAATATGTCCAAGTGTGGGTTATTCCATTTTCGTTCTACGAAATGTCTTTGCATTGTTTAGAAATGGTGTCGTAGATGTCGAACTTCTATGGCTCATGTGTACATTTCAACATATTGCTGAAGTGTGCAGGCTGCTTGAACTGTTGTTTCCTATTATTCAACTCTACCAATCTCGACAATGGACAGAATCTCAAGCATATGTCGAGATTAATCGTCGGTATTGACAGATGAACTGTCCATACCGATGATTGATGTCAGTTTTTCGCTACAGTTCCCCTCACTACAAGCATGAGTTCGATTCATTACGTGTTACATTTCTATATTTTATCATGATCTAATCCGTGTTTTTCTTGTTGTATCTTGTAGGAGAAATGGAGTTTGAATTCCTCGTTTTGGAAAATGTTTGGTTGAGAAAGTTGGTCTAATGTGCTAGAAGTTGGTCTTTTGTTTTTTAGTTTGTATGTTGTAATGCGATAACTGAGGATCAGCAGTGTGGGGTTAGTGCATAGTGAATGCATGGATTTTGCAAATAATAAATGGTTATGTACGCTATATTTATTTTATAATGAAGGCACGAGCACGTTGTGTAGGAGTTCCTAGTTTACTTGGACCATATTTTCTTCTTTCCTGATCAATTACAAAGTCGTTCGTCAATGATGATTGGGTTAAGATGACTAGCCATTAAAAATTTTCCATTTCACGAAACCATGCTACAACTAATTCACAAGGATGTTAATGTGAGTTTTTTTTTTTTTTTTTAATTGGGTTAAGATGATGAGCCATTTTTATTAATTATGCTAAAGCCATGACAACCACGTTACAACTAATTTAAAAAGTGTATAATGTGAGTTGTAGGAAAATTGAATCCATTGTTCAAATAATTTAAGAGTCACAATATCCTAGTAATTATTTGGAAATGGGGGGATAAAGGTACAATTATTTTATTAAACCATCGTACCAACTAAATGTAAATGAGATTGGACTTTGTGGTTAGGTAATAAATAATCATGATTGCTTCCTCCCTTTAAGTTGATTATAAATAGCATGTTGTCATTGTCAGTTACAAATAAAGTACTTCAGGTGTCGA